GTCCTTTATGAACTAGCTGTCTTATCCTCATAGCATTCAAGTGTAGGAGAAGAGGGAAAAAATGCAGACAAGTTCTTGCTAAATGGTAGAACAGGTACATTAATTAGTGTTCTGTTACAATTCTTTTTTGTCCCTCTCATAGTTTTGGCAGATGAGAACTTTGAGATTTTGAGCAAGGCAGCAAATGCAGCAGGTATGCAGTTGAATGCAGGGTAGTTGTCAGCCCTCACAGTTCTAGTTCTGCTACTTAGTTACATAAATTATCCATCTTACACCACCTGCTAATAAAGGACTGGTTTCTTTTTGGATGCAAGTCTTGGAGAGTGTTTTGAAGTGATAATACAGTGTATTTCTGAAGAACGAGTCCCTTGTAAAGGCAATGCTTAAAGCACTGAATTACTAGCTTGAGAAAGGAGCATGCACAACAAATGGGAACTTCTTCTTGAAGATTATTACAAAATGTTTTACACAGTGTAAACTAGTGATGGGGTTTTTTTCAAGTGTTTGCTGTGAAATGTTTTCTTAGTTGCTGTTTTAATTATTGAGTGGACATGGAAGTCTTTGCAGACTGATTACAAACCAAAATAACTAGGCTTCCGTGATCGCAAGATCAACCAAGCTTGAAAAAGCAGTTTTAAGATGGTTCAGAAATTCCTCAGTGAACTGTGTGGTGACAGATGGCAAGATTACCCAATTGTCTACAATAAATGATAGCATTTTTATGTTAGAATTAAGGCTGCTGTTGGTACAAATGCACTCCTTTAATTTGAGCTCTGAATATTTGAATATGCCAGTCCAGTGGCAGGGGGAGGGGGAAAGAGGAGAATAAGAGCAAGACTGTTAATTTGGTTAGTGCTTTTATGTTTGGGATTTGTTCTGGTGAATTTAGTTGTATTGACCAGCACCACACATGCACATAGACGCTGCTACTATGTTCATGCCAAGAGCAGCCCAGATCCAAGAGAGTTTTGTCATCTCTGATGCCTCTTCTTTCCGCTCCGTTAGAGGGAATGCACTCCTCACCATTTAGACTATCACACTTCTCTAAAGGCTGGCCATGCAGATAATTTGTCCAGCAGTACAAATGTCGCCTTAAACAACTCAGTCCAAAGGTAAATGCTAGCAAAGCTTCAGCAAGTGAAGAACTCTTCAAAGCTAGAGATTACTTTACAGAACGGATGTAGGGACTGAAACAGCAGAATAGATGGGTCCTAGAATCCCAGGTTAAAGATAGTAGGTTTCATTTAGGTTAAAATTAATAAATTTCATTTAGGTTAAAATTAATAAATGTAATTAAAATTAAGTTTATTTTTTTATTTGAGTTTACCAAAAGGTAACTATTTAATCATAGGTTGAATAGTTAAAGATGGAAAATACCTTTAAAATCATCAAGTCAGATCGTCAACCTAGCACCCCCACCATGTTCACCATTGAACCATGTGCTGAAGAGCCATAGCCACTGGTTTTTTGGGATGGTGATCCTTCCAGGGAAGGTGACTTCACTTCCCTGGGCAGTCTGTTCCAATGTTTTACAATCCTTGCCATGAAAACATTTTCTCTTAATATCTAATCTTAACCTCCCCTGGCATAATTTGAGGCCATTTCCTCTTGCCCTGTTAATTGTTAAATGGAAGAAGGGATTGAGACTCACCTTACTGCAACCTGCTTTCAGGTAGTTGTAGGGATTGTGAGGGTCTCCCTGAACCTCATTTCTCTGGGCTAAGTGACCCCAACTTCATCAGCTGCTCCTCATAAAGCTTGTGCTCCAGACCCTTTACCAGCTTCATTGCCTTTCCCTGGATGTGCTTCAGTACCTCAATGTCTTTCCTGTTGTGAAAAGAGCTGGACACAGCACCTGATGTGTGGCCAAATATGCTGGGCAAATACCAGCCCTGTTTCTGCTGGCCACACTATTTCCCTTTGGCCACCTGGCCACTGCTGTCAACCAGCACTTCAGGGTCCTTTTCTGCTGGACATTTTTCCAGCTACTCCTCCCCCAGCCTGTAGCACTGCATGGGGTTATTGTGACAAAAGTGCAGGACTCAGCACTTGGCCTTCTTGAACCTCCTACAACTGGCTTTGTCCCACTGATCCAGCCTATCCAGATCCCTCTGCAGACCCTTCTTACTATCCAACAAATCAGCAAACATGAATGATTGCATCATTCTCCCTTTGGAAATTCAGAACTAGTCCATGCCATTTGACTTGAGGGTCTCAGACATCCCACCAAGGTATCAGTCCCAGGTGCTGCTAAACAGATTCATAATAGCATCAAAAATTTTTATCAGATGTCTCAGTTTTTTTATAAAATTGGTAAGGATATAAAGTTTGCTTTTATATCGATGGCCAGCTGTGAAAAGACAAATTTTGGTTGGCACAATAGTTCCTGAGTTTGTCTTTATTGGTCAATTTAACCATGTTCTTAGAGTTCATGATCTCTAAAGAAATTCTGCCTTGTAATTTGATGCTTTAGCAGTAAGCCTGTTTCTTTCATGTTTGTTGTAAAAGGACAATTCTCTAAATTCCATAGCACTAACTCAGAGAGATTATGTGGTTGAATTACTTAGTGTATTAGTACACACTCTTAAGTTTTATCACTGGAATTGTCTAGCAGCAGTTTTTGTCTCCTTAAAAAATATTCCTGCATTCCTGATCTGTGAAACAGCTGCATTTATCTGTTCATTTTCTTTAAACATTGTGTCTTGAACTTGTTTCTAGTTCATTGTCAAAGCTGAGAGAGGAATAGTATATTTGAGGGATACAGTCTTTGGCAGTAATGTACAGTGAGACTCACATCAGTACAAAGACAAAGAAAAGGTAGTTGTCACTTACACTGTAGTAATTGTGGTTATATTGATGTAGTCAATATTGATCCCACAGTCCTTGCCTTTGAAGACTTCAAATTCCAGCTGTTTTGAATTACAAGGGAATGGCTAAAAGGTCATGTTGGAGCTTCCCCTTCTGATCTCCCAGTGCATGGAGAGGCACAGGGCATGTACATAGCACCAGCAGATGTTAATGATGTTCTAAACTCCTGTGTTTCTAGAGTTACAAAATGAATATCACTTTCTTTTCTCCAGAAGAACTAATAAAAGGGATAAGAAGACAGCAAAGTTAAGAGAGGTGATTTAGATCTCTGGACTTGAAAACAAGGAATGTACTGGGTTTAAATCATGAAATATTTAGCTATTTGCTGTCTTTCATTGCTCCCAGTGAAATGAACAAGTATAACAAATTGTAGAGTTTGACCCTAGAGATTTTATTGAAATATATTAAAACAGATACACTCATCAGGTGATTAATACATAAATAACAATTTCAGCTGAGGTAGGGTCAAAATAATGATGGCTAATTCTAGTGATGTGCCAGAGATGGTGGTGGTCAGATTTATGGTTTAACAAGAGTTGAGAGGGGATAAAAGAAATATGTTTTTAGGGTCAAGGAACATTCTACATTATCAGGCTTTGACAGGCAATTTAAAGTCTGTGAAAGAACTGTAACAGTAGAGTCAGAGACTTGGAACAAAGAGAATATGTCATCTGTAGTGAAGATTTCAGGCTTTGAAGTATTCAGTAACAGGTCTTTAGTTGCATTCTGGTTTTTTGTTTTGTTCAGATTAAGGGAAAGGCTTTAAGGCAAAGACCTGGCAGACAAACTCTTAATTTGGCAGGTTTTGTTGCCTGGCTAACTAAACTTCCATTTATGCCTGTTCATCTTAAATAAGGGTTGGCATGGTCAGTACAAAGAGATTTATAGACTAGAGATGAAACCAAATGGGATGAAGAATTTTTTGTCATTTGCATAGGGGGAATGAAAAAATTAGTAACATTGACTATAGTAGTAATCTTACTTCAGAGAGAGAGAAGTAGCAGAAGCAATAAAATGCAGTGAATTATTTTCCTTATATTTTGCACTAATAGTTAAAATACATGAGTATGGATTTTTTTTCCCAGTGTATTTTTATTCCCTAGTAGCACTGAAAGACTATTTTAACTGCTTTGCAGATAACTGTTGTCATGGAATGAGCAAAACTACATTAGCCCAAGCACAAAGTAGAATAATTACAATAAAATGCTTTTTGGTGGCATTATAGAGACATTGGAACAGAAAAAAATAATCCACAGACAGCATGAAATTGTATGAGAGTATCTCAGTATAGCACTAAGATAGGGGGTTTTTTCCCATATTTTTGTTCTAAAAGTTTAGATGCTGGGTTCATTCCTTAATCCCTGGTGATCAAGGTTCCTTAAGCTCCCCCTAACACCATGGAAGGTTAACTCTGTTTCATAATTAACTCAGCCAAACTCTTTAACATGGTATCAACTTTCAAATGAACGTGGTTATGGGGAATTAAGTAATTCAGAAAGCGAACTTATGCATTACCATTATCAGAGCAAAGTGCCCTGGTGTCCCTGGCTCTGCTCATGGCCTCGCCTCATTTTGTGGGCTAGTGTGAGGAATGGGCCCGTAATGGGAGGTTGTGCAGGGTGTTGTTGACAGCATGAAGTGCTCGTGTCTTAGGTTAGCCCTGCAACACCCACAGCACCCTCCTCCCTCTCCTCCCATATTTACTCTTTCTTTTCCCTTTCTAGCTAACCAGGACAGATCCATCTGCTGGGAAAATCATTTCTTTTAGTAGGTCATTTTAAAGTTCACTTAAATGATTTGTCTCTTCAGAAGGATCAAAAATGAAAAAAAGAGAAAAGAACATAATTACTGCCTATGCTTTTGAACATTGATTTGGAACTGGTAAAAGACTCAAAATGAGACTGGTGAGCTTTCTGTCAACTGCCTTCACTGAAAGCACTGTATCATTAAAGGACAGTGGTCGTAATTGCTTTGTGCCTTTGCTGAACTATTAGTCTGCAAATGCTTGTTCATGTAATTTAATTTTTTTAATGTATGAGTTGCTATGCCACTACGAGGCATGGAAAGTCGTTGCTTGTGCAATTTGTCATTGTGGTTAAAAGCATCAAATAACCTGTATCCTCTACCACCAGCAATGCATCTGTTTGGCCTCAACTGGCAGTTGCAGCAGACTGAAAATGATACATTTGAGAATGGAAAAGTGAATTCTGATACTGTGCCAACACATCCTGTAACAGTTCCTGCTGGAGACAGTGGTAAGTGAAATGGGCACCATTTTTTTTTTCCTTCTTTTGGAACATTTCCTTCCTTTGTGTCTTACTAACATCATCTCACTGTAACAGTTTTCATCCAAGACTCTATATTTAATGCAAGTACAGAGCATTTGTAAGTAATAGTAATTTTAAAAAGATAAACAAGAACAAACAGTTCCTCCTACCTAGCATGTGAAGGGGTCTATGGATCCTGAGCAGTAATGCTGATCTTACTAGGAGAGCTAACTGTCAACCAGAATTCCTCACAGGAATTCACAGGAATTATATGTGATACTTGATGAGGATAGGAAAGCTCTCATCATATCCAGAGAAGCAGAACCTCTGTTTACTCCAGAACACCTGATAATATTTTTATTGTTGCTGTGGGGTCCCAGAGGCAGCAGGAGGGTGCTGAGGCTGGCTCGGACCATCCTGCCTTAGGGACCTCGTGTTGAACAAATGGCCACAACAAAGCCAGGGCCCCAGGGTGTCAGGACATGCTGTTTCATAAGGGGGACCTGATACAAGAGCCAGTCCTTGGGACTTTCTGCAAGCTCTCAATAATTCTGGACAAAAGATTACATGTGCATGTTCAATCGTAATCACTTTTTCTGAAGTTTTTGCTCCAGAAGACGCCTTTCAGGAATAATAAGCATATTTTTGAAGCTTCTCACTTAGCTATGCTTACAAAGCTTAGAAGTCATGATCAAGGAGTTTTGTGTGGCATGATGACCTCACTATGGAATATCTTGGATTTTTCTCTATAGAGATTGATGTTTTCTTCTCTCTTTTTTTTTTTAATTTCTCACTGAAATTTAATAGGTCAGGTATAATATGTACATTTGTTTTCTCAAAGTCTCTGGCATATAATGTTGAGTCTGAATCATCCAACCAATATATAAAGCAGGAAAAAAAACTTTCCTAATTTTGTTGTAAGAGCTTTTAAAATACAAACCACATAAAGGGATTATTTTTTATCGACCTTTTTCCATGTTGCCCTTTAAGATTCTCCAAACATTTAAGAGCTTGTGCACTTTTGGCTAACAGAGGCTTCAAAATCAATAGGTTTTGAATAGAAAACTTGATTTAAATGGTTGATGAATGCAGTGTTTGCTTCATTACACAAAAATCCATTTTCCCATTCACAAGGAAGATCTGACCTTACCACTGAGAAGGAGGAAGCCTCTGCTGGCAATTGACATCTAGAAAATTTTTCAAGTTATCACAGCTCCAAGTCATAGAAAAGTTATAGCTCAGTTCCCTGCTTTTGTCATTTTTGTAAGCCTGTGAAACTTCTCCAGTAGGACGTTTTCTTCTCATTTCCTTTACCTTCCTGCCTTTTTCTTGTACTTAGATAATCATTATTGCTTCCTGTTTTTTCTTACTTTTGAATGAAGAGAAAAAAAACTACTTTATGGTTACGAATATTGATGCTGCAGTGACAGCTTTTCATCCCATTGTCTTCTGCATTCAATAACCAATATACTTTATTTTATAAACTATATTGTTGTTTTTGAAAATATTTTATAAACACTTAATGGGTTTTTTTCCCTTGATAATTTTTAATTTTTTTACCAAACTAAAACCTGTTATACACTGCCTCAAAGATAAAAGGAAATAACAAGGAAATCAAATACATTTTTCCTTTCTTATGTCCCTAAATACAATTCAAGAGAACAGGGTTAGTTCCACCCACTTAAAATGGTGTCTTCTGCAGAATATGGTTCATGGTCATTTATCAGCATGCATCAATACTGACCAACAGACAGACCAGAGAGTACACATTTTAAACCACCAAAGAGGCACCAGTTAGGCAGAAGGGAAAGTTTGATGACTGGATGTGAAATGTGAGGAGCGAGGCCCCTGTGCTGTCACTCTGGTTACTGAAAACTGTAAGGAAGAATCAATGAAACCTTGATTCAGATATTTTGACAGCTGAACAACTTTCAGTACCACCCTTCTCTAGTCCCCTGGTAATGTCCTGATCCTCTGATTTGGATTTGAGACATTTCAACTACTTTAATAGTAAATGTGTATGAACACGACATTCCATGTTTTGGTTTAAAGGTGCCTGTAGGAACTGTTACTGTTTAGAAAATGGAAAGGAAATGATGACACTATGAAGATCTTTCTTATGCTCATTGAGATACAACAGGGAACAAAGAATAATTAATCCCCTAACCTTAGGGTGACAAACAGCTGCTGACAGCTTTGAGAGAGGTGTTGGGGTGCTAAAGGGGCACGTGGCTACAAAGTAAAACCATCTTTTTTTCAGTGAAGAACATAGGAGTCCATAAATATATTATCTGCTGAGTGTTGAACCCCAGAAACAGGCATTCCTGGGAAGGTTCATGTATTTGATAAACAGCACTTACTCAAGCTGTCTAGCTCATCTTTTCAGTAGTACAAGGCAGTTATTTTTCATTTGAAATGTAGAAATAGGGGAAGTTGCAGATCAATATTGCAAACAAGTGTTTATTGTTTAGTGATTACCTGTCATCAGTGTGTGAATTTGTTCAACACAATATGCGTTAATTTGAAGAAAGAAGTAGAGAACAAATGCTTAAATAAGCAGAAATAGGAAATACAGATCCATCTTCTAGAATAACACATGAATATTATGAAAGGTTAAGTCCAAATTCAGAAAACATTAAACTCATCCTGAAAAGTGTTTAAAAACTGGGGTCTTTAAGATCAGATATTTCACTGTCTTTTCTCAAGAGCACTCTGATCAATGTGATAATCCTGTGAGACATTTTCAGTGACTGCAATGCTGCTGTGACACAGCTCTGATGATGATACAAGTTCCCACTCAAGGCCTCTCAGCAGTGCTTCTGAACCTGTTTAATTCAACAGCAGTCTCAGTTCATCTTGGATGCACAATAAGTGCCGAGGATCAATCTGTGACCTCACCTGGCATTTCAGATTTTAATCTAGTTTTTTGCAGTCTAAATGTTTGCAAAAAGGTTGTGTCAGTTTCTTCCATCAAATGATGAATAATGTAGAATTTGAACGTAAAAGACAAGGCTGAATTGTCAGTTCTTCAGAACACTTGTATGCAAACAAGTGAGCATCACATGAACATGCTTATCACATTCAGATGGATTTAGTTCAATCTTTATAATAGACTAGCTGATGAAAGGAATATGAATTGGTAAAAACACAGCAAACTCCAAGACTATAATGACAGTTCCATTTTTCTTTGTATTGTTTCACTCAAGCCTCACCTTCATGTGCCAGCTGCTTAAATACAGCATTGCTTGCTTATGCAAAATCAAAAATAGGTAACCAGAGCTGTAGTATTTGGTAGTATTGAATAAATGCTCTGATATTTAATGTAAAAATGTTTATATTAGTTTTCTTGACTACCTGTGTTTATATATCTATTATTCTTTAACTTTTTAATGTGAGACTTTATTCTTAGAAACCCCTGTTAAAATGCTAGTGAAAAAGTTTATTGTAGATTCTAAACTGCTTCCATAATGCTCCTCCTTAGGGATGCTACAGCATTTTTTGTAAGTAGGCATTTGTGGTATCTTTGCCTTTTTGTTTCCAAATCATTGAATTCCTGGGATCTTCTATTCAAAAATGTTGTCAGGTAAAATTCTTCCTGAGGTAATTCTAAGTATTTGAAGCTATATATGAAGGATGATTGAAAGCTAGAAAAAACCACTAATTTTTGATCTCCATATTATTCTAAACCATCAGGAAAATTAGGAGGATTTGCACAAGAAAACAACACTATAGATTCTGGAGAACTTGATATAGGCCGAAGAGCGATACAAGAAGTGCCCCCTGGGATTTTTTGGAGATCACAACTCTTCATTGATCAGCCACAATTTCTAAAATTCAATATATCCCTTCAGAAAGATGCATTGATTGGAGTATATGGTCGAAAAGGCTTACCACCTTCACACACTCAGGTAAGAACTGCTTGCATTAAAGGTAGCACATTATTGAAAACCATGATCTTGTATCTTTTGTATCTTTTTTCTCCCTCAGGATTACATTCTTTTCTGTTTTGCTGATTTTCATGTTTATACTTTATTGATCTCATGTGATGACCAGAACATTGGTAATACTCTGTGTTGGGATCTAGAATGGTGGATACATGGTATTCTTATTTATGAGCTGTTCTGTTGCCTAATCAATGATTCTTCAGATATGGAGTTGTTTCATGCAGAATTTATAGGTACTTTATTTTATTCTTTGGTAAATTGATATATCTTTAAAACCTAAGCAAACTAATATAGAATCTTTTGGCCATGCATAAGGTGTGGTTGACAGTTCCTGCAAAGAGCACATTAACCAAATTTCCAAACAAGAAGACAAGCAAATACTACAGTATTTACAGCTTGGTGTCTCTCTAAGTAAAAACATAAAAGAATAATTACATAATATGTATCTACAAAGATACAGTGAACTGGGGTTATAAAAGTGGCAGTCTTCACTAGGCATCTACTGTCAGGAAACTTTGTTATTAGGTGTGCCAGAGGATTTATTCTCTTCCACCCATCAGAAGATTTCTAATGACACCTCTTATAGCATGTGGTCACATTTCCTAGTAACAAAAACCCACTTTTTATCCATAGTGATAGAACATTTAAAGCACAAAAGAGTGAACAGTCTTCTGGATTGGCAGGAGCAACAGAGAATCAGTGCCTCAGATGGTACTTTAGTATTAATTGTATTCATATTATTTTAAAGATTTAAGACCCTCCAAGATTAGATTTCTTCCAACACAGTATTTATCCAACTGCTGGCTCAGATCCATTTTTCCACCTGAATAGGTATTTTAGTTCATTTTCTTCTACCACATCCAGAGAAATATCTTAGTGACTTTTAGTTTGAGTGTATGGGTTTGCCATGGACACAAATCTAAGTATAGCAACCAAATGGTATGAATGTATCAAAGCTTGACTGATTATGTCTGATACATAGCAGCAAATCCATAGGTGTAGCAGCAAATCCATAGGTGCAAAATCATATATTTTAATTCAGTTCCATTTTTTAAAAAAATTTGTTTTCATGCTACTGCACTATTTAATTTTTTTGCTTGTTTATTTATTCAGGTATAACTTCTAAAATATGTGCAATATAGACATATATATGTATATATATATAATATATTAATAATTATTAATTAATTAATAATTACCTACTTAACAGACAAAAACAACAGAGGAAGGGTTAGCACAGCAGGTAAAGTCATGGAATGTTACATTAACTTTATTTTGTAGTTTAGTTTCCATTAAAGTACAAACACTTTACTGAATGCAGAAAGTACACTCATGTTTACTTAAAAATTTGATCTTCATAATAGTGATTAAATGGTTTTCTTCAGACCTTCACATATGAACACCCACCCTCAGGCTGACAACAACCACATGAAATTCTAGCATAAAGAAAATTGATTCAAAAAGTTATCAGCCATTTGAAGTAGGGGTTTGGAATACAAATGCCATCTCAATGATAACAGTAACAGGGGTTAGGGGAATACATGTGTGGCAGGAATGAATAAAACTGAAGAAGCTGATCTAGACTATGCACTTATATGAGAAGTTATGCAAGTAATTACGACTATTAAAAAATGATCTTTACTTGATTCCTTAGCCTGTGAAAAGATTGAAATAGGAGTGCCCTTTATCCAAAAACCACAGAGAGTACTAAATCTGTTTCCTGTCCTCTGTGTTACGTAGACTCCAAGTTTTTACTAATGTTTAAGTATGATACAACAGAAAGTGTCATATGTGAGTCCTGCTTGACATTTTGGATATACTGTTCCCAGGATATAGGTCAGCCTCTCTTGTCCTCTTTTTGCCTGGTATGTAATTAGAATATTTTTTACAGACCATTGACTGACATTTGATACCCTGAAAAATTAGGCATGCTTACTTATCAGTGCCCTACTGAACTTACAAGGCTGCTAAAGCTTCCCAAGGGTACAGGTTTATCAGAATGTTTATATGGCCTTGAACCCAATGGTGTCCAGTTTAAGTGTCTGAGATAAAGTACGTATGTAATCTCCTGAAAATGCAGTTTCAGTAAGCAGTTGGGGTTTTATCTGAGACCATGCTCCTTCATGTGGGGGAAAAAAATGGAATAAAATACATCTTGACAGTTTAGGCCTTTCTCCAACCAAGTCCTAACACAGGGCTTTGATGAAGACACAACTCTTCCTGGTAAAATATATATTTAACTGGAGTAGCTTATATAAACAAAATAAGGTATTTTGGCAAAAAGACATCTAATGAAATGGAACACTGAGGGGATTACAAGGACAAGTCCCTTTCTTGTTTTTGTATTTCCCCTACCTCTTACAGCTTGTACCAACAAAAGTTCCTAACTGCAAGCTAGGCATAGGTAACAGGGACAGACTAACAGCTGATGTTTGGCTTCACTGCATCCTTTCATTCCTCTTCCATCCTGCCCATTAGACAAGGCAGCTCACTCTTGTGGCTCCAGGTGTCACAGGAACATGGCAGACAAACACATGAATGTCCATGCTGAGTTTGGTCAAGGCCCATCTGGCCTTCTCTCTGTGATGGGGGCCGTGAGCAGACACAGAGAGATCAGTAAAGCAGCATGATAGTATTGTAGTTATTCTTCCCACAATATCCTTTTGGCCTCCACAGTTTTAGGGCTGAAGGACTTCGCTGATGCTGTTTTTGATTTGTCTACAAATCTTTGATAGATTCTTTTTTCCTGTGAATTTGCATAATCACCTTTGAATCCATGGAAGGTTTTAGCATCTCTGACATTTGCAGCAGGGCTTAACTACTCATCTGACACTGTACTCCTCAGAGTGTTTTGAGACAGTAGCTTTTGTTTGACACACTGTTGAAAGTGTTTTGGAAGAGGCAGAGCAGAATTTCTCATTAATTTCTTCTTCATGCCACCCTTGATTAAGGGATCTCAAGTGTTATCATTGAGTTGTATTTGTTCGAGGCTGTTTTGGCATTCTTTTTATGAAAGCTTTTGCAGTCCTTTGTTTATCCTTTTCTGAAAGTTATCCTGTTTTAATGCAGCTTTTTCTAGGTGTGGAGACCAGAACAGCCCAGAACATAAGTGTTAAACTGTGATGGTTTCATTCAGTGCCTTAATTATGTCTGCTTTTTTCTTTTTATCTTTTTTAATTATTCAGCTCTTATTTCCATAATCTGTCTACCATAGCTCAAAGAGCACATCCTATAATGACAAAAGTTGGCTCAGAGCCCATCTTAGGATGTGTAAAGCTAGGGTTGTTTCATGAGGACTTTGAAAAGTAGGATCTCACTCACATATATCACTTCATGTCTGTGTCTCTTGAATGCTATCTGCCCTTATCTTCTAGTCACAGAATGACAAGTGCTAATAACAAAATTTTATGCAAATGAGCAACTGCTGCTTGTTTCTCAAACGTCAGTATTTGAATTTTCAGATCTTACGTTAAATAATAGAGAACTTATTGCTTCCTGCACTCTGCCAGCATTTGTAAAGTTGCCTTGTCACCTGTCCTCCTCCAAAGTCTTTGCTCGTATGCCTGTGATACCCTACATGTATAACCACACTGCACAATTTTCTTTAGCTCTCTCCTTACAGCTTTGGTGTTTCTACCAATGTCTGTCTTCTCTCCACTGTCACCTTTGACTGTAATGCAAGACTTGACTTTTACATTTGCCACCTTGTTCGCCACTTCTCTCCTGTACCCGTTGCTGGTTTATCCACCTCTTTTTTGTACCTAGTTAAAACCTTACAGTGAGTAAGAGGACACTGTAGTCAATATCTGTCCCTAACTGTACAACCTCTGGTGCCAATTATCCTTCTATTGCAGGGGACATAACAAAAGTATGATAGAAATAAGCTTGGAATAGATTTCAAGAAGTCTTTACACCCTTATCTTGTAATAGGATGAATTGTATATAAACTATTTCTATAAATCGCTGAAAATTCTATTAATTAAACAGTAACAGAATGGGGAAAATTTAACTCTTGTTCTGTCCCATAATCCAAAATAATAGAGATATAGCATGTAGGAAATGTTTTGATGCATCGTATTCAGGACAGAATTTTGGGTTGTTTTGCTTTTTTCTCTTTAGGTGTCAAAATTAGTCTCAAGCAGAGCTACTATTTGTGTGTCACAGACTGATCTGAGATGCATAGCTCTCTTTCTGGGGAATCATAAATAAATCAACCAGAAATAATTGATGGTGGCTGTCCATTCAAAACTCAATCAATGCAAGCCTGAAAGTCTTTGTGACACTTTCTAAAAATGTCAGTTCCATTGCAGCCAGAGAATCAATATGTTTATTTAAAGAGACTTTTATGAATAAAAAAGAGACTTTGGTTTAAAGCAAAACTGTATGGAGTGGTAAGGCAAATCATCACATTTAGACTCAATGTAAACGAAATAAATTTATCCTCATAGAAGGAAAATAAAATTGGTATGGTTTTGCTTATGAAGATAATTGTTTTTCCGGTCTGTTTTTGTTGCCATGTCTCAAATATAAAAAAGCAGCCTTTAAAAGGGTTAGTTAAGATCAATTTTTTTTTTTTTTTTCTGGGGGGCAAAATGAACAGTGATTTCCCTTCTGTATGGCTTTTTAAGTGTAGTCTAAAATGGTGTTCTGATAACAGCATATGTCCTTATTACATTACAAATACAAAATTGTGAATTGTACTGTGCTTCTCTGCCATTAATGGCCAATAAATTGGTGTGGCCACTTGTTCCTGTATCAAAAATACAGTTTTAATCTGCAATTGTCCTTCTACAAAAGTGGTCTCTTGCCATATACAAATTACAAAGTCACAACTAATGTCTGTGAGTGACCTGTTAAAACTCAGAGCTCCCTGAGCCTTCCCTTTTTAAAAATACTAAAACCTCTGGAGAGGCAGAAGTGAAAAAAAGCCAAAATTGTTTCTCTCTCCCTCACAAAATAAGATAAATATTTAATACTCTGACAAATGAGAGTGTTGAGTGGTTTTGAATAATTGCTCTCCCAAAGTGATCACGTTGGTTTCCGTGCAGTGCAGCGCATACAGAGCTGCCGAGGCACCGCTCCTGCGCATCCTCATCACACTGTGTGCTGTCCTGCTCCTCCAGACACCGCTGGAAAAGCGTCTCAGGTGTTGATAGAGTCGTATTAACCATGCATTTCCTTCACATCCTGGCTAGTGGGATGATGATTCTGAATACTGGGGAGGAGCAATCTTACAATACCAGTGAATTTTGGCCTGCAATTTCAAAAAGAGAGCATAAGCACTTAAACCCTTGTTCCAGGATAAAAGCTATAATATTCTCTTTTGTCTGAGGAGCAGTGTCTGAAGGTCACAAGTCAGGGTCGAAAATCACTGATCCTCTGGTCCTAGGAACTGATCTTATCCCAGCTCAGGTGAATCAGTGGCTCACATGCTGGCCTTTACTCTAAAAGGCCCTGGATGTAAATTCATTTGAGAGAGATCTTCAACATGTGGAAAGATTGAAGGTTTTTGTGCTGCAGTTCACTTCATATGATAAACGTGTCACAGTAGAACTGAAACTTTGAACAGTCTTAGCTGTAAAAGTAGAGACCCTCTGCCATAAGCAAGAATGCTCTTCAGTTTTCCTACCTGTTTTATTTTGCTCTATATGTATTGATCTTTACATGTTCAACATGCAGAAGACAACTGTCAAGCCCTGAGAGCCGACTCCAGATAGTGTAAAACCAGTGTAGGGCCTGGAGCAGTTTTAGCTCTCCAGGTGCCTTAGACCTAATTAAGGTGCATAAACATGCATTAAAACTTGTGTTGTAAGTTTACTTGTTTTATCAGCTCAGATGCTACTACATTTTTCCAAGCCTCATGTTAGCTGTTAAAATTCAGTATGTGGTGTCCATTGACCTGGGATACCATGGGGCTTGTTCAGTTTGTCATCTTTGGTAGTTGCAATGTTTTCTGCTTTCCTTCTCCTGTTTTGACCTCCTGTGATGAGAAGTAAAGCTCTTGCTCTCCTTCCTCAAAAATTCCAGACTATACAAAAGGGGGATTGAGCAGTTAATCCTTCATCTGGAATTAAATTAAGAAAAGTAGATTATTGGTATTGGATAGTATTATTATTATTAGCCCATATGTATGTAATACAGTTTGAAAGTTAGCTCTCACCTGTAATTATGGTGCCAGTCATGACTGCAGACTCATTTCAACTGCTATTTTCTTCCCCCAGTGTATGAAATGGGTTCATTGGCCACTTTCTATTGAAAAAGTCTTCCTGATAAGCATGAGAACTAGTTGGTAATTTTATGTGAATGCTTCCCAAGGAGCAAAGAAAGAAGAAAGGGTTGGTTTCAGCTCCTCCTTCCCTGCTCCAGAAGGAAACTTGGTCTAAATGCGAGCATGTTGTCAGGGTGGTGCCATGGCCCTGTCAAGCTCTGTTCTGTGCTTCGTTGCAGTATGACTTTGTGGAGCTCCTGGATGGCAGCCGGCTGATTGCGAGGGAGCAACGCAACCTGCTGGAGTCGGAGCGAGCAGGACGGCAGGCGAGGTCCGTCAGCCTCCACGAGGCAGGTTTTATCCAGTATTTGGATTCTGGCATCTGGCACCTGGCCTTTTATAATGATGGGAAAAATGCAGAGCAGGTGTCTTTTAATACCATAATTATAGGTAAGCATAATCTTTAAAGCTCTTACCAAACACTAGCTTGGGGTCAGGCTTTTAGGAATTCATAGAAAGGTTTTCATATTTAAATGATCTAATTTTTTTTGCAGGTTTTCCATTTATGTGTTTCTTTTGCTACTCAGAATAAAACACAGGGTCTGTAGTTTAATTCCTTGATCTAAGGCATAAGGGTTTTAATTTCTTAGTCAAAGGCATAAGTACTTCTAGTAAAACAGTGCTTGAAAGGAGGATGCTGTTTTGAAGTATTTATTAAATGGTACAGGACTAGATTTTAAGTATGGATCTCATGTAGTTTTACACTTATAATTTTAGCCCTTTTTTTGGAGTATAAGATAGTGGGGGCATCAGCAGTAGGAAATCACAGCTGTTCATGCTCTTCAAACAAAACAAATGTAAACACTTCTCAGAGTGAGAACAAACTGTCAGTTAGTAGTGGCTCAAATGATAGCTACTTCATGCATTGGGTACCTGTGAATTATTCTTCTCTTTTTCCTTCTAGAGTCTGTGGTGGAATGCCCCCGAAATTGCCATGGTAACGGTGAATGTGTTTCTGGGTCCTGCCATTGTTTTCCCGGGTTTCTGGGCCCCGATTGTTCAAGAGGTAAATCAGCCCAATGCTTTTCTCAAGTCAGTTTAAGTGAGCATGAAGAGAAATACATCAGAAAAGCAGCATCCCAGATGTTGTTCTTTATGATGCTTTGGTGAAATCTTTATTCTGATAGTTGTGCTGTGTTGTGTTCCGCAGCAGCCTGCCCGGTGCTGTGCAGCGGCAATGGGCAGTACTCCAAAGGACGCTGCCTGTGCTACAGTGGCTGGAAGGGCACCGAGTGCGACGTGCCCACGAGTCAGTGCATCGATCCCCAGTGTGGGGGACGGGGCATTTGCATCATGGGCTCTTGTGCCTGCAACTCTGGGTACAAAGGAGAAAACTGTGAAGAAGGTAAATGAGTAAATATTTTTGCTAGCACCAGCTGTTGTTGGTCAGGTTAACAGCTGGCACATCTGGCTCTATAAATTTCGCTCTGGATTTAGGTCTTATGCACTAGCTCTGTTTCTTCAAAAATCATTTTACAATACTACAAATCAAGTTTGGAATCACTAGTATTGCTGAATTCTACAGAGTTATTGTACTTTATTTATTCTCAAGTAAGCAGTGGGAAAATTCAAAGAAACATGCATATAATATTTTTACTTGCCAGTATATTTGGGTTTCATCTGGCTGAAATCAGCTAAGAAGAAAGCACATGAAACACATATGTAGGAGTTCTTATTGAATTTTTCAAGTATAGAGTAGTCATTAATTTATTGCATTTGTTAGTAGTCTTTTCCACTGACCATATTGTGGAAAGTGCTGATTCAAATGCATCAGGGGGGAAAATGATGCATTATTCTTGTATTCCAGATATATGCATAATAATATTCGTTCTGGTGTGCTGCAAAATGCAGTTCATTTTCCATTCTATTTTTTTAGGGACTAAAAACTGCTATTTTCTTCCCCAATCAAATTGATTTTATTGATTGCCACATACAAAGTAATGCAATTAAGTCTCTGGAATTAAATTTTCAGGCCATTGACCCTACAAGTGTAACATTTTATTGAGTCAAATTGCTAAATTAAATCTCATCATCTAAAGCACAAGTGAATTAAGACAGATAGACAGCATGCAACTCATTCATTTCTGAAACAATCTGGGGGGTCCTGTATAGCTGTCACAAGTATGTGGTAGTGGATTGGGTCAGTAGTACCAGGGAATAGTGCTGCAGAGAATCCAGCACTTACTCCATTATGGTTAGGCAGAATCAAGATCACTTACCCAAGTCCCAAAGCCAGTCTTACTGTAAGTCAGAAAAATGATCAAACCTTAAAAGATTCTCCATTGATTCAGTGGTAACCTGTAATTGTCTTGATGTCGTTTATGTGCATGCACAAAATTTACAGGATCAGAAAGTGGTCTGAAAGGGAAGTGTTCTTGCAAGGAAAATTGCAGCTATGTAAGAAGTGAGGACAAAGAGTGATTTACCTTGTAGCCAGAAAAGGGAGGTTGGCACAAAGAGATCATAGTCCACTCTGTCTTTTCTTCATTCATTGCCATGAAAGAAAGGTGAACTTCTCAGCTTCAGCATACTGTTTACTTTCCAGATGGGTGCAATGCTGCCTATTTCCTAAGGTCTTGAAATTTGAATGAAGCCCAAAAGTGCCCTTAGCCCCTCTGGGTTAATTACTGTTGTTAGGATTGGCAGGTTTAAGCTGCTCTTTGTCCTCTCCCTGCAGCGGATTGCTTGGACCCAGGCTGCTCCAGCCACGGTGTGTGCATCCACGGCGAGTGCCACTGCAACCCGGGCTGGGGGGGCAGCAGCTGTGAGATCCTGAAGACAATGTGCTCTGAGCAGTGCTCTGGGCATGGCACCTACCTGCAGGAGAGCGGGAGCTGCACCTGCGACCCCAACTGGACAGGTCCAGATTGCTCCAATGGTAAGAGTTCAAAGCACTGGCATTTTATAAAATGTTGATGCCTTGAATAGCAGCATTTTAATGACATTACTGTGTTAGGACCTGACCTGCTGAGCTGATTGATCTCTTGGAGTTGACTTCAGCATGAACTGTAAATTGATTCAAAGGTTCAAAATAATTGATGTGTTTGAAAGATTTGAAAATCAATGTATTTGTTTGTATCTTTTAACTGCCTTCGTCTGGCAACTTCAGGTATTTCACAAGCAAGCTCAGAATGTTCTTTGCATGATATACATATTTCCTAACACATCTACTTAGAAACTTAAAACTACACTAGTGAAACCAGGGGCATTCATATTTTAAGAATCTCTCCAGCTAATTTGAGGTAGTTTTCATGAAAAGCAGAGAGCATTCAAGTTTGAAGGCAAAGGGAATGCAAGAATGAGTCTTAAACAGCTTTCAAGGAGAATGCAGGCTGCCAGGGTGGAAGGAATTGGTACAAGTGAAGAAGCAGAGGAATTTCTTGAAATATGGAACTGAGCTTATTAAAACCATAGTCTGAGCTTAGAAACAAAAGGAGAAAACTAGAGGTACCAGCACAGAGAGCAAAATCTAAATATTTATAAAGTATGACAGCAACTTTTTGACGAAGACGAGTTTTTAGAATCTTGTTTGGTAGCCACATATCAAAAAAGAAATCATGTCTAACTGTGAGACATGTATTTGTCTAAACCAGTTCATCTAAGAACTCAGACGTTTTGTTAATGAAAACTGAACACATGGGCTAGCTGAGTTTATGCCAGCTTATGAATAAACATAACTTTTTCATGAGGAACCATCTTTTTGAAACAAATGTACTTCCTGATCAGGATCTGTGGTACTTCATAATGGTTTATGCATACGGGAGTGATTGAGTTCCAAACATGCAAGAAAAAAGTGACAAAGAGAAGAAAATGTTGTCTTCTGTGAATTTTGTTTAGAAGAAAAAATCCCTTTCTGTTTCTAGCACTAAAAATGGCTATTTGTGTTAGACCCTGTCTAGTTTTCAGGCAAAACATGGATCCCCTATATACTGACACATCCTCTGCACTTCTTTTGATGGCCAGTTACGCTTCATCTTTGACTTATGTTTCATGGAATGATTTGTTTTTAAACTAACATAAAATATTTCTGATCTCAAATATCTCAAGTGTGTCAGACTCAAAAAATAATGTTTGTAAGAACATGCAGAGATTATTTGCTGAAGCAGTGCAAAATGACCTTCAAAGCAGTACACTAAAAAAAGTAAATCTTGCCCATAAACATGTTGTTAAGCTGTTAGATGAAGAAAAGAATGAGTTACTTCCATCAGAGGATTTTATAGGTTTGAAATCAGCAGAGCTTTCCTCTATCTTCATCAGCAGTTTGTCCGTTAATTAGCCCTTCAATTCCACTTCAATTAAATTAATTAATAAATTCATTACAAAGATTGACGCACCTTGCTCAAAGCTGGTGTGCTAAAAGCTGATAAACACCTTCACCCTAATGAAAAATTGATTAGATTGAAGAGAAATAAACCTTTCTTTCTTGGAGCTGCAGTGACGTTTTGTGACTCAAGTTAATCAAACCATCTTGCATCTTTTAATCAAAAATTTAATTCAAAGTAGATATAAAATGCTATATAGTTGGTGGGAGGGAAAGGAGGGGGAAGTTACAGCTGTCTTTCTCCATAAAGGTTTTGGGCTGTTTCTTACAGGAAATGTTACAGCTCATTGATACTGTTTTATGTTCTACAGCACTTTGAGACAGCAGAGAGAAAAACACTGTTGATGAGGAAACTGGAAACCTTTCTTGCACTGAATGCAAGTTTCTTTTGCTATTAAAAATGATTTGATCTTTTATTACTGAACTACTTGCTGTCTTTTGCAAGAGAAAAAAAGCTTAAATATAGTATTTTTGTGAACCATACATGGCTACAGTCAGCTGCATGCCAAGGAAGTAGAAAGTCCCTCAGGCTGTACTGTATCTCTTTGTTTTTCTGTTTTCTGTTTAGCAGAAGTAAAGTTTGCTGGAGTCTGACTAAATGAACCAAAATGGTAAATACAAAATCTGGCAGTGTAAATTATCATCTTGTGTTAGCTGAGACTTAATATGTGTTGTTTGGCCTCTGACTACCTTTGGCTGTTAAAATATTTTTCAATTATTCTATCAGATACAAGATCCTGTTACTATATGTAAATGACACGTTAAATTGCTGTATGTTGATTTATTTTTTTAACAAATTATTATTGAAACCAGACTGTTCATAGCTGTCACTGATACAAATTTACTGAAAGTAAAAGAGTAAAATGATCTTTTATACTTTACAGATGTGTCAGTGTGTCAGCATAGTGCTAATTTGTTTCACTAAGGCTGATTCTTTATAATGAAAAATGTGTCAGTAATGGCACATTTCAACTTTGAAAGAAAGCAGGGAGAAGAGTGTGGAGGGGAAACCTTGCTAATTTGAACTTCGCCATAGTAGATTTTCACTCACCACAGACAATGATCAAGGTATACCTTACATTTTGTCATTTTGTCACTGTGAGTACAGTGTAACTTCTGGTAGGTATGAGTGCCATATAATCTAAGATACAAAAGGTTACTCTTAAGACAAACGTGACCACAAAGAAACGTGCTTCAAAATTACCGTAAGCTAGCAAAAGATCTGTGAACATTTAAACATCACTTAAGTCTGCCAGCTAACCAGAAGAGCATTAGCAAAGAGATAGAACTGTGCTCTCTGTTGAATCTGAAAACTGTTGAATCGCAAGTGAAAATGTCTTTCGCAGTAAATTCCTTTGATTTAGCTTTCAAAGATTTTGCCTTTCTCATTCTTTCCATGCCTTTCTTGTTCTCCCTGTCCGCAGAGCTGTGTTCG